TGAACGGGGCTCGATTCCGCCAGTCAGATATTATTAGCCATGTATGTTAAATGGAAAAGGAGATTGCTCCACGTTCGTCGCCGGAACGGAATTATTATCGTTAACCGTCTCATTGGACGGAACGTTTCTCGTCCATCGATAACGTTTATCCCGAAACGGATCGCTGATATTCAAACGGAAGAAATATTTAGAAAGCACGATACTGTGGTCGGACGTTCTATCGATTAAGGTCACTAGGTATCCAACGACGGGGACATCTTTTTAACTTTCAATCACTATTAAAATTAGCTCACAAAAATCACACGAAGCTATTAGCACGTTTTGAGGCAATTTCTCTGGAGGAACGTAGAGAAAGACGTGCACGATGTATACTTTGAATTAGATCTAGATTGTTTGGTGCATGGCTAATCTCCTAAGCGTCTGGGATCTCTGAAGATGTTAATCCGGTCTTGTCCCAGGTAATTCTGCACGAAAGATGGCGGAATCACATTCGAGAATAGTTTCGAAGATCGAAGGGTAAATAAAGGAGGGTGAAGTCGGTTGCACGAGTAGCGAGACAGACAGAGGTAAGTGGAATTTAAGCAAGGTGGGTCAGGCCCGTCGAAAGAAATTGTTGGGCGGTTGGCAAGTAACGGAGAGTGTTAATTTTCGGAATGAAAACGAGACATCCATCTTTCGCGAAATACTTGGCACTCGACGCTTCAACTCCCGGCCCATTCTCTCGCTCAGCGCATTAGAGTAATGAATTAATTTCCATCCGAGTCCCCTAACCCCCTTCCAGGCCCTCCTGCCCCCTTTCTACATCTAGCAGACCGGCCTTTTACCACTCGTTTAGCCCGCAACGAGACTCGGCTTTCTCTCCTTGCCGCTCCAACCCCCCACCTCGCTTTACATTCTGGATTTAAAGTCTATCTTCTTAATTATAACGGAGTGACAATGCACTCTCTCTCCACCGTCGCTTCCTTTTTCAACGCTCACTCCATTTTCCTGGAAGTTTCCAAGGATCCGCTGCGCGAGGCATCGTTTCATCGTGTCAGCCGCGTTCAACGAGAAAAGAAAGACCGCCTTTACCTCCGCTAGCTACCCTGCATTTATTTAGAAAATATTGAACCGATTTACTTCGCTGTCCCTCCCTTTTTACCTTCGATGCGGTAATTTTACTACAAATTCGAATTCTGTGATTGCGATATATTCTTAAGTGAAAAACAGAGAAATATAGCCACATAGGTTGTTTAGGTGTACATTATTTTTGCTATAGCAGCTGTACACATGTATCAAAGCAAGTTGTCGAGATTCAAAGTAGCATACCTTTAACATTAAAACTACCAAATGACCGCTCCACAAGTTTCTTATTATAAGATACACATTTTGTTGAA